CCCCCCCCCCCCCCCCTCCTCTACTCTTCCGGTTTCCATGGATGACGGAAACAAACTGAGCAGGTTTTGCCAGATAAAAACTTAATACATAAAAGAAATCATTAATCCAGTCTTAGTCAACTAAATATAGACATGCGCAGACGATAACTTTCTGATAAGAACCCTTTTCATCTGAATTAATATTGAAAAGTTTAACCCTTTATCAGACTCGCCGTTTCGTCTCAGTCTTCACAAACAACAAAATGTGGCCGGACCGGAGTTTTACCTGGGTATTGGTCATCATTGTCTCCACAGGTAAGTGTGACGTCATCAATCACAGCTACATCTTGCTGACTGGTAGGATGTGTTTCCTTGACAAACACGTTTTTTATTGTGCCGTTGAATAATGTGACATTTAGGTTAGATGTTGATACAGAACTAATAAGAGGAAGGTTTACTCTGTATACTAAGAAAAGGTACGATAAAATACTAGACAAAAATTACGAAAAAAAGTAGACAGAATTTGTGTAATGGAAACACCTTACAGAAATATGCGATAAAACTATCTCCAAAACAGGAATTTATACATAACAGAAATGTAGATTGAAAAAAAGCTAAAAACAAAATTACATGAGTACAATTATAAAGACCTAAAAAACACACCCGTAGAACGTTAATTTTTATCAGAAATTCACATGTATAAGCTGACTTTTTATTGCCCTTTGAAACAAACATTGACGTGAACATTTGATAAAAGCGACTTTGTAGAGTCTGGACATTTCAGTTCAGTATAAAACACAGTGGTTGAACGGTAGTGTCTGGAGTAACGGCACCAATAATGCTATCTATACGATACATTTTGTGTTAGTAACGATTCTAATTTTAAGAATGCATACATTTAATTAACTGAAAACTCGTTGTTATTGATTACAATTAAAGATGAAATTATTTGTGATCTTGATATTATGATATGTCAATAAATGTTCATATCATGATTTCAAGATCGAAGCTGTACTCCATATTGTACTAATGATCCTAGCTCCATATTGTACTAATGATCCTAGCTCCATATTGTACTAATGATCCTAACTCCATATTGTACTAATGATTTTAGCTCCATATTGTACTAATGATCCTAGCTGTGCTCCATATTGTACTCATTTCCATTATTAACCGATAGAAATAAATTTTAAAAAAATGAATAAAAAACCAAGACGAAAGAAAGGTTTTACAGAACAAATTCTTTATTTCTTTATTTTTGGAAATCGTTTATTGGTGTTTGTATAGTATCACTTTTCAATATGATAAATATAAAATAAATATCAATTATTTGTAGTTTACTGAATGCCAAACCCATAATTTAAGATTTACAAGACTTGGAATAAACACAGGTCGAATTAGTCAGGTTTCAAAGTTAGGATCGGATTAGACAGGTTTTCTTTTAACATATAGAATATAAACTTTATCTATTTCATACTGTTATGACGATACTCAATAGCACTGAATTATCAAAAGTTTCCAAGTTTTTTCAGTGTATTATGGTTTGACGTTTTGCGGAAGTTTGTGGTAGATAAGGTAAACACAGACAACAGCACGCAGCGACTCGTAATTGAACACGTGTAAGGTGTTGTCAAGTCCATGTTTATGTCGGATGTTTAAACAGTTACATTAACAGTCTTATAAAAAACTTTTTTCGTGTTATCAAATGAACCTCTACAGAATGTCAATGTCTTTCTGTGTTAGTTAAACGGAGCGTGTCCATTGTATAAAAAAATGTACGGGTATCGACAAAATATTATCGACGAAATATTGTCTACAAAATGGAATCATGTGATGTTGACATAAGACTATAATGTCACATTACATCAACATTACGTTATCTCATCAATGGATATGAAATGATATATTGGCACGCGTGACTATATTAGTGGCTTACTTTTATTTTAATAAATAATTTACTTTAAGATAAGGCGATGTTAGGTGTCGGTTTGTATACGTTTTTAAACACGAGCTGGTTGCTGTAGTGATATCCAATACTACAGCTGTGATTCCTTCACCATCACACAGTATCCTAACATACAGGTGAATTTGTGTATCAATTTTGTATTCTATAATACTCTTAAATAGCGTGTACCCCACTGACATACGTGTGTGTGATCGCTTGTACCAATGTTCCAATGTACCGATTTAAATGTCATAAGCGACAGACTTACTGATGAATACACTACAGATAATGCGCCTTATTGATCTTCTGTTAAATTTTAACAGTTAGTAAAATCATTATCAACACACTGGAATTTTTATCAACAGATCAAGTTCGATAACAATCCAGTCCATTCATTGCAGTGTGCGTTACTAAAACCAAGAACCGACCCACGGCACGATATTTCCGGATTTATCAACTGTCGGAAACGTTTCATCTTAAATTGTATTCATCATTGCAAGTGGTATTCGAATAATTTCAAAGGACTAATAGAAATAAATCAATGTACATAAATATTACAGAATACAGAGATTGACCTTACTTTCAGCTATATGAAGTAAAGATATCAGATCTTCTTGTATGTGCGGTACATATATATTGTGTTCTGTCAACAAACATTCCAGTTCAGTGACTTAGAGTTAATGATAAATGTGATATATGTGACACAGATATTTGTAACTTCTTGCTTCTGACGTGCCCAATCAGAATCTTACAGGTAACGCCACCAATCCGAGGCTAACCTTACTCACCAAACATACACAAACATTTAGTTCACCAAACATACACACCATCATCTAGCTCACAAAACAAACACCAACATAAAGTTCACAAAATATACACATACATCGAGCTCACAAAACGGACATTAACGTCTAGTTCATCAAACGGACATTAACATATAGCTCACCAAACGCGCATAAGCATTTAGCTCACCAAACATTCACCAACATCTAGCTCACCAAACTGACACCAACATCTAGCTCACCAAACAGACACTAACATCTAGCTTAGCAAGCATATACCAACATCAAGCTCACAAAACATACACCAACATCTATTTTCATCGAACATACACCAACATCCAGCTCACAAAACATACACCAACACCAAGCTCACAAAACGGATATTAACCTCTAGCTCACCAAAGGGACATTAACATCTTGCTCACCAAACATGCACCAATATCTAGTTCACCAAACATACACCAAACATACACCAACATCTATTTTCATCGAACATACACCAACATCCAGCTCACAAAACATACACCAACACCAAGCTCACAAAACGGATATTAACCTCTAGCTCACCAAAGGGACATTAACACCTAACTCACCAAACATACACAAAAAAAATAGTTCACCAAACAGACACCAACATCTAGCTCACCGAACATACACCAACATCTTGCTCACCAAACATACACCAACATCTAGCTCACCGAACAGACACCAACATCTTGCTCACCGAACATACACCAACATCTTGCTCACCGAACAGACACCAACATCGAGCTCACCAAACATACACCAACATCTTGCTCACCAAACATACACCAACATCTAGCTCACCAAACAGACACCAACATCTCGCCCACCAAACATACACCAACATCTTGCTCACCAAACATGCACCAACATCGAGCTCACCAAACATACACCAACATCAAGCTCACCAAACAGACACCAACATCTAGCTCACTAAACAGACACCAACATCTAGCTCACTAAACAGACACTAATAACATATGTCTCAATTTTGATGTAATAGATAACATCACAAATCTGAAGTTTTTAAATGACGTATAGAATCTGAGTCAAACGACGTCACAAGTTTGACGTATACAAAACTCGTCACGTTCAACATTTTAAGAATAATCTCATTTCCAGATCTTGTTAGTGGAGGATGCCATGAAAAGTTCAAGGTCATTTCCGGACACTCCGCCTGTCTAAGTAAATCACCAAAGGTCAGCGTATCCGGTGAGTATAACGTCAGCCGTCTAAATAGTTTATGTGTCCTATCGTCCGAGCTTCTCTCGAATCCAAAATCAGATATTTGGCTAAAGAAACGTGTTTAGAAACCAAACTATGATAAAATTAAGCGTCTTCTAGTGACAAATAACATTTCATAGGTAAGGAAGATAATTTAAGATGATATATCATATATATTCAGTATTCCACAGTACATACAAATAAACGTACCGCTTTATACAGAATGTTAACGTGTTACAGTACCACAGAACATACAAATAAACGTAAAATTGCATGACCTGATAACTGGCTATTTCACCGTAGTAAAATTCACGAGGTTTGTATTGAAATGTTCTTTGACATGTAGTTTAACGTTGATTGACGAGTGAAATAGCGTCATTTGAACGGCGATACTACGTTGTGTATTGAAAAGTACTTGAATAAAGTGTGACTGGTGACATAACGTTGTTTGAAGGGTGATATAGCGTTGTTTGACTGACGAAATGACGTTTAATGAGTGTTACAGTGCTTGACGATCGATATGATATTGTTGAACGGGTAATATCAATCACGTTGTTTGACGTTATTTGAAGGGTGAGTAAACGTTGTTTGACGTTATTTGACGGGTGAGCAAACTTTGTTTGACATGTGATACAATTTCATTTGATTGATCACATAACAGATGATATAACAATGTTTAATTGGTAATTTAAAGTTTGATGGATGAGAAAACGCTGTTTGGCAGAAGATAACGTTTTTTGATGCATGCTAATATTCGTGTAACGGGAAATTTGATATTGTTGTATGGGTCTCACAAGGTTTGATGAAAGACGGGTTTATGACGTTGATATAACGTCATACATTGTTTGCCGGTGTTTGATGGATGATTTAACGTTGTTCGAAAGTGATTTATATTTGTTTCATGAATGATATACCATTGTTTGGGAGGTAAAAAGAAGTTTATCGTGTTTATCTAACACGTGTTAGTTGATTTTAAAATTGTATTTCAAATCGATAAAACCATTTATTATACCTCTAGTGAAAATCCTGCAATCTGATTGTTCATTTCACACTGTCACATTCGGTTTTACATTGAGTCAATGGAAGGGTGCTTACCAACGCCCTAGCAACGGGCTACAGTGTGATGTGACAGTGTACTTCGCCTCGGGTGACAGTGATAACCCCGGGGTGACCCTAGGCAATGTCACACTCTAATGCATGTAGTATTCATATAATACTTCCTTTCTTATGAAAAGCATTATTACTGTTCCGATTGAGGAAACTATTCAATGAATCATAACGTCAAAATTTAAGTTGACAGCACAAAACATTAATTCATGTACGTGACGTCTTAATTCAAAGATTGACTAATGAAATAATATCCTACTAGGGTAATCCAAAATGTTGATGTTGAAACTTCGAGTGATTTTGGGACAAATCATTGTTTTACGGGCCATATAACATTTCTTGATGGGCGATATAGCACTCCTTAACGGATGACTAAACGCTGTGTGATGGTAAAGTTAACGTCGGTTGACTGGTGATTTAACGTTGTTTGATAGATTATGTAACATTGGTTGATAGGTGCTGTAATGTTGGTTGACATGTTATGTAACATCGGTTGACAGGTTATGTAACATCGGTTGATAGGGGCTGTAATATCGGTTGACAGGTGCTGTGACGTTAGTTGACAGGGTATGTAACATCGGTTGATAGGTGCTGTAATATCGGTTGACAGGTGCTGCGACGTTAGTTGACAGGTTATGTAACATCGGTTGATAGGGGCTGTAATATCGGTTGACAGGTGCTGTGACGTTAGCTGACAGGTTATGTAACATCGGTTGATAGGTGCTGTAATATCGGTTGACAGGTGCTGTGACGTTAGCTGACAGGTTATGTAACATCGGTTGATAGGTGCTGTAATATCGGTTGACAGGTGCTGTGACGTTAGCTGACAGGTTATGTAACATCGGTTGATAGGTGCTGTAATATCGGTTGACAGGTGCTGTGACGTTAGTTGACAGGTTATGTAACATCGGTTGATAGGCGCTGTAATGTTGGTTGACAGGTTATGTAACATCGGTTGACAGGGTATGTAACATCGGTTGATAGGTGCTGTAATATCGGTTGACAGGTGCTGCGACGTTAGTTGACAGGTTATGTAACATCGGTTGGTAGGCGCTGTAATGTTGGTTGACAGGTTTTGTAACATTGGTTGATAGGTGCTGTAATGTTGGTTGACAGGTTATATAACTTCGGTTGATAAGTGCTGTAATGTTGGTTGATGGGCGGATTGGTCGAGTGGTTAACGAGTGGTTAACACTTCGGCCTTCCACGCAGGCGGCCGGAGTTCGATCCCCGAAGTCATTGAATGCATGGAATATCAGAGAAAGTGTTTTTCTCCTGCCCACGCAACTCCAACAACCCAGGTGGAGTATAAAATGGTCTGGGGTGGATGTTGCGGTATCTGTGATGTAGCATTCAAGTGATGTGGTACTAGAAAAGATGCCGATGGAAGCACGGTCCCACTACAAACAGAACAAAATACATCTCCAGCACTCACGCAGGCATACACACATACGGAAATATCAGCCAGGTGGAATAGGACTAGAAGTTAGCGCCTGGTAAGGCAGCACCTACGAATTCCTCAAAATTTGTATATCGTTATTGTATTAATTGTATATCTATGTACTGTAAAGCGCTTTAAAGTGGCTTATGTAAGGTGGATAGGGCGCTGTATCGAATGTTGTAAATTATTATTATTATAATTTGACAGGTTATGTAACATCGGTTGATAGGTGCTGTAATGTTGGTTGACAGGTTATGTAACATCGGTTGATAGGTGATGTAACGTTGTTTGACAGGGTATGTAACATCGGTTGATAGATGCTGTAACGTTAGTTGATAGGTGCTGTAATGTTGGTTGACAGGTGCTGTAACGTTAGTTGACAGGTGATGTACTGTAGGTTGATAGGCGCTGTAACGTTGGTTGACAGGTGCTGTAATGTTGGTTGATAGGTGCTGTAATGTTAGTTGACAGATGCTGTAACGTTGGTTGACAGGTGCTGTAACATCAGTTGACAGGTGCTGTGACGTAAGATGACAAGTAATGTAACATCGGTTGATAGGTGCTGTAATGTTGGTTGACAGGTTAGGTAACATCGGTTTATAGGTGCTGTAACGTTGGTTGATAAGTGCTGTTATGTTGGTTGATAGGTGCTGCAACGTTGGTTGACAGGTGCTGTAACGTTGTTTGACAGGTTATGCAACGTTGGTTGACAGGTGCTGTAACGTTGGCTGATAGGTACTGTGACATTGGTTGACAGGTGCTGTAACGTCGCTGACAGGTGCTGTAACGTTGTTGACAGGTGCTGGAACGTTAGTTGACAGGTTATGTAACATCGGTTGAAAGGTGCTGTAATGCTGGTTGACAGGTTCTGTAACTTTGGTTGGTAGGTGAACGTTGGCTGATAGGTGATGTGACGTTGGTTGGCAGGTTTTATAACATCGGTTGACATATGCTGTAACTACGGTTGATAGGGGCAGTAACGTTGTTTGATAAATTATGTAACATCGGTTTATAGGTGCTGTGACGTTGGTTGACAGGTGCTGTAACGTTGGTTGACATGTAATGTAACGTTGGTTGACAGGTGCTGTAATGTTGGTTAACAGGTGCTGTAACATCGGTTGACAGGTGCTGTAGCGTGGTTGACATGTGCTGTTATGTTAGTTGACAGGTGCTGTAACGTTGTTGACAGGTGCTGTAACGTCGCTGACAGGTGCTGTAACGTTGTTGACAGGTGCTGGAACGTTAGTTGACAGGTTATGTAACATCGGTTGAAAGGTGATGTAATGCTGGTTGACAGGTTCTGTAACTTTGGTTGATAGGTGAACGTTGGCTGATAGGTGATGTGACGTTGGTTGGCAGGTTTTATAACATCGGTTGACAGATGCTGTAACTACGGTTGATAGGTGCGGTAACGTTGTTTGATAAATAATGTAACATCGGTTGATAGGTGCTGTGACGTTGGTTGACAGGTGCTGTAACGTTGGTTGACATATTATGTAACGTTGGTTGACAGCTTCTGGACTGTAGGTTGATATGTGCTGTAACGTTGGTTGACAGGTGCTGTAACATTAGTTGACAGGTGCTGTGACGTTAGTTGACAGGTAATGTAACATCGGTTGATAGGTGCTGTAATGTTGGTTGACAGGTTAGGCAATATCGGTTGATAGGTGCTGTAACGTTGGTTGATAAGTGCTGTCATGTTGGTTGATAGGTGCTGCAACGTTGGTTGAGGTGCTGTAACGTTGTTTGACAGGTGCTGTAACGTTGGCTGATAGGTACTGTGACATTGGTTAACAGGTTATGTACCATTGGTTGAAAGGTTATGTAACATCGGTTGACAGATGCTGTAACTACGGTTGATAGGGGCGGTAACGTTGTTTGATAAATTATGTAACATCGAATGACAGGTGCTGTAACATCGGTTGACAGGTGCTGTAACGTTGTTTACAGGTGCTGTAATGTTAGTTGATAGGTGCTGTAACGTTGTTTGACAGGTGCCGTAATGTTGGTTGACAGGTGCTGTAACGTTGTTGACATGTGCTGTAATGTTAGTTGACAGGTGCTGTAACGTTGTTGACAGGTGCTGTAACGTTGCCGACAGGTGCTGTAACGTTGTTGACAGGTGCTGTAACGTTGGTTACAGGTGCTGTAATGTTAGTTGAGAGGTGCTGTAACGTTGGTTGACAGGTTCTGTAACATTAGTTGATAGGTGCTGCCATGTTGGTTGACATGTGCTGTTACGTTGGTTTACAGGTTATGTTACATTGATTGACAGGTGCTGTAACGTTAGGGAGTTGACAGGTGCTGTAATGTTAGTTAACAGGTGCTGTAACGTCTTACATTGTCGCAAAAACAAGAAAACAGAAAAAGGCTAGCAACACATCCGTTATGGAGTTGTTTTATAGATGGAAAATGTTGTAAACATTTAACGTTTTTATTTTGACCGAAAGTCCTCATAAACAGAATTGATATGACAACATACTATACGTAAGAAGTATCGTCCATGAATGAGGACTGATCTCCGTCATTAGCTTATGTGTTATCCTTTCGTTATTTTGCTAAAAATACACAGAGACATTTTTAGGGTTTTTGTTGAATAGCAGTTTTATTTATATATTTATTTTATTATTTATCTATTTGTTTTTAGTGGGGCGTGTAGTTTGATATTTTGCACGAGTGAAAACTATTCAATCTATAAGAGCAGTACAACTGTTATTTATTTCCGACTGAAGTCAGGGGATGAACTAGAATCACGTTGTCTGCCTTTCTTTCATTCAGCCCGTCCGTAGACGGAATTTCGTTCGGAAACCTTTCAAAACATAAGATATAATCACAACATTCCATAAAAAACAAGAATATCATGGCTGATATGCTGTACCGAGAGTAGTTAAGGCTATTGTAAACTCACAGTTAATAATGTCCATTGTGAATTTTACACCAAAATGTTTGTTTCATTAACAAAAGCGGTATTTGCCACAGAGGAAAAATCGTGGTATTACCTAGACCGTAAAAGTGCAATACTTAGATAACGACGTTTTAACGATACTACCGCCACTGTGTCTTTGCCAGGAACTGTTTTGGAACAAGCAGGTATTTTACGTTATAAATATATTATCATAATATACTATAATACTTTTCTACGCCACCAGAGGTACTTTCGTCAGAGAAGACAGAAATCATCACCCTGCATAACACGTATCGACTAAAAGTCAGCGACGCCTTGTATATGCAGAAGATCAGATGGGACGACGAGGTTGCCATGGTTGCAAGGAAATGGGCAGAGAACTGTCAAATGAATCATGACAAGGGGTCGGTCAGGTACATCCCAGGTACGTCCTTAGTATAGAAAGGTTCCTTATGTACAGGTAAATTTGGAATGATAGGGCAGGTATATTTTTCTTAGACAGTCAAGAGAAGAATGGCACAGTCGGTAGTGCGTCGGCCTTCTGACCGAAAGATTGTAAGTTCGAAACGCACTGACAGCAGTAACCAATGTGTCCATGAACAAGACGATTTATTCTGGTTATTCTAGTCTATCCAGGTGTACGAATGGGTACCAGCATGCTGGTGAGTAATAGGAAGTCATCGACCTTCAGTCACTTCACGTCATGGAAAATTTACAGGTAACCATTTTGCTGGTAGGCGTGGGCTAGACTCCTGGGGTCAGCGGCAACCTGTTGTGTATGACCTCTAATCAAAGTCTTCACACAGCTGTATTGATAATATGTCGGAGCAACCCTTGGTACTGATTTTCTGAGTCATATATTCCTTATTTAAAATCAATCGATAGAAAGTGCATTTTAAGAGATGATATCTCATTAGTAAGTCGATACAGTTAACTGTTCTTATTTTTTTTATTTAAAGTGGAAAAAAATGAAATACTACACGGCCAACTAAATGTGAATTGTTTAATGTTCAAATATGGAAGTGGGCGAACAGGAATGCTTCAAAACTAATTTATTTCTTCAATGTAAATGCCTAGCATGTTTTTACAAGATACAAGAAACTTTATTTAACGTCACATACAGGTAAACAAGGAACAGTAGCTCTTGAGAGCTAGAATTGCGACAATTTTTTTTTAATTTCTTTTTGATATTTTACAGTCACCCTATCGGGCAATTTTTAAGGATCCCTGTCCCACTGCACGGTGTTTTATTGCATACACAGTAACCCCTCTTTATATCGTTTTAACTATTACTCAGTTGGACCAGGTCACTCCCATTGATTAGGAAACTCAGTCGGTTAGAACGGTAGTATAATAATCGTAAGACCAGGGTTTGAATCCCCGTCAAGCCCCGTTGTTTTTTTCCCAAATTAAAACAGTGCTATTGATTATATTTTGTTTATTTCGTTTCCGTTAATTTATAAAAGCAAGGTATGTTTTTCTTTTCACAAATGATTTATCAAACACGTAGTTTTTAAATGCGTAGTTACAGTTTTTCGCAGTGGTACAGTGGTTCTTAAACATTGGTCTTATAATTTTCTGTCTCTTTTTTCCTGTTCGGGAATTAAAAAATGATCGTCTTTCTTTGATACAAAACCCTGTTCACTTTAACTGTAATCATACAGTTGGCACGGGGTTTTTTTTGTTTCATATCCCAAAGAACTTACCATGCGATCGACCGTACTCTGTTGTCCACTTGGCTGTTTTCTGGTGTCCGGTGTACCGTTCCCTATTGTCCATTTGATCGTTTCTTGTTGTCCAGTTGGTTGTTTTCTGCTGTCCACTTGACCGTTTTATATTGTCCAGTTGGCTTCAATATCTGAATTATTACACATATTCGTGAAACGACTAAGGTCGTTGAGCAAAGACAACGTTCAATTCGTATATATGTTCCATAAATGAAATATGAAAACCCTGTTTGACTGTATTTCAGGGCGGTTCTCTGTGGGACAAAACATAGCTACAGGCAGCGCTAACAGTAAACGTAACTGGGCATCAATAATGGAACTTTGGAACAAAGAGGGAACCAAATTTACCTACGGGAGCTCTAACGACCTGGGCCAAGTTGGTCATTATACACAGGTGATCTATTGTCGGCATTATACACGGGTAATCTACAATAAAATTTACTACGACGTACTTACACCCTGATTGGTCGTCATACACAGGTAAGCTATAGTAAACTTTACTACGGAGTACGTACACACTAAACGGTAAGGGACTAACACACTGGTCGGCTGTTATACACAGGTAAGCTATAGTATACGTACACACTAAACGGTAGGGGACTAACACACTGGTCGGCTGTTATACACAGGTTATATACCGTAACGTTTCGCACGAGGGCCAGCACATTGCTCGATCGTTATACACAGGAAATATACCGTAAAGGTTCGTACGGGGGCTAGCATATTGGTCAGTCGTCATACACAGGAAATATGCCGAAGAGTTTCGTACGGGGCTAGCACAGTGATCGGTCGTTATACACAGATAAGCTTTAGCAAACTTAAATATAGGGGGCTAACACGGAACGGCACAGGAAATATACCGTAAAGTTTCGTACGTGGGCTAGCACATTGGTCGGTCGTTTTACTCGGGAAATATTCTATAAAGTTTCGTTCGGGACTAGCATAGTGGTCGGTCGTTATACACAGGTATTCTATAGAAAACTTTACTAAAGGGAATTCAAACTGGTATGCACAGGAAATACACTTTAAAATTTCGTACGGGGGCTAGCACATTGGTAGGTCGTTATACACAGGAAATATACCGTAAAGGTTCGTACAGGGTAAGCGCAGTGGTTGGTCGTTATACACAGGTAATATACCGTAAAGTTTTGTATTGGGGCTAGCATATTGGTCGGTCGTTTTACACAGGTTATCTATATCAAACTTTACTATAGGGGACTAACACTGGTCGTCACAGGAAATATACCGTAAAGGTTCGTTAGTGGCTAGCCCATTGGTCGGTCGTTATACAGTGTAATCTTTAGCCAACTTTACTATAGTGTACTTACACTGGTCTGCTGTTATACGAAGGTAATATACCGTGGAATTTCGTACGCGGCTAGCACATTTGTGGGTGGTTATACACAGGAAATATACTTTAAATTGTTTGTACGAGGGCTAGCACATTGGTTGGTCGTTATACACAGGTAATCTATAGCAAACTTTACTATAGGGGGCTAACACGGGTCGGCACAGGAAATATACCGTAAAGTTTAGTACGGGGACTAGCGCATTGGTCGGTCGTTATACACAGGAAATGTACCGGAAAGGTTGGTACGGGAGCTGCTAGCGCATTTGTCTGTCGTTGTATTTAGATTATCGACATTAAACTTAGGAATTTGTCGATTTCTATTGAACACAACATGCAAAACAAAAGATGGAGATGAGGGTCGGGGTCAATGGGAAAAAAACTTGTCCTTTTTTCAAATCTGTGCATGGGTATATAAAGGCAATCTGTATCCACTACTGAGTTGTGAAGTAGTACCATGTAGGTGACGTCGCTTATTTTCCCCTTTTCAGCTGGTATGGGCGGACACCTATCTTGTGGGATGTGGCTTCGCTCTCTGTGATTCTGTACCGTTTTACGTCTGTAATTACGGCCCCAGGTAAATATGTTTCTGCTATTTGTTTGGACATCTATCGGTCTAACTTGCGTCGAAATAAAAGCACTTGCTTATACATGCTTTCTTAATAATCTTTATTTTCCTCTGTCTTATTGAAATTAAGTGACCTCTTTTGTGTATTTCGATCAGATTCATACGGAGATTGGTGAATCCAAGGGGGAGTGCTTGGTAATTACGACATAACATTTAACCTCACCTCTTTATATATAATCATACTTGTATATCGTGAATACGACATACATATGTCGTGATTATAAGCTAGTAAAATCTCGTAGGTTGACATGATTCCCGTTAGAACTCAAAACACTTTATTTGGAAATACGCACTTGGTAGTTTCCAATTGTGTTAACAATTTTGACAACCATGGGAAATGCCAATCATTTCTGTTTTTGGGTGACACTCCCATTCAAATGCTCGCACAGTACTAAACATCTCAAAGATGGATTTAACTCTTAACTTACTGTTATTTGGTAATGAAATTAAATTAATGCTATTTGGTGATGCAATCCTGGCTTTGGATGTGAATTGTGATATATTTAAACATACTTTTCCTAGATCGAGCAAAAGAGTTCGAATATGAAATAGAAACAAATGTAATCATATTAAAGGTATATAAGTTCAATCCTGGAAAATCAATTTATAGTTTCATTAAAAAATACTACTTAAAAAGTAGTCTATCAGCCCTACGTGAACTGTCGCTGGAGAGCGATAAAGTCACATTCACGACAACAGTGATCTGTAGGAATGGAACTATCAAAAACAGGAAGTACTACTTTAAGTTTTAGCACGGTAACCATAACGCCGGTATACAAACCATACTATCACCACGCATTCTCAATGGCGGCTTATGGAATCGAAACTACGGAAGCCAGTTAGCTCCACGTGAGGCAATATTCTTGAGCCGTAATTACGACAAAGTTATCTTGTAATTACGACTTAGTATTACGTAATTAAGAGATTTTTTTTCTCGTAAATTATGCCGTAGTTTTCTCAAAACACCGACTAAATACATAGCTCCTGTTGAATTTCGATGTTGTTTTATTCCACAAACAGTTTATTACGGAAGCCGATGTTTGCCGTCACATGATGTATTTTTATCCCGTTTATTTGTACTATGTAATCATACAACATATAAGTGTTCTTTTAAGCAATGACTGTTTTAGCAAATAATGTTATGGTCATATAACACACATTGCTATTGATGACAAACTTCATAAAGCTCGGTAGGGCTTAATGTAAGTTTGTCAGCAATATCAGTGTGTTATAGGAACATAACAATATTTGCTAAAATATTCATTATCCATATTTGCAGTTTGATAGAGTAGTTATGCTACATTTAGTCATTTCGAACAGTTCTTTGAACAGCAAATCAATTCTTGACAACAATGAAATTGATGACGTCACAAAATAGATTGATGACGTTACAATAGCACATGTTGTTATAGTGTCATAACAACGTATATCTCAAAGCAAATGTAATGGAAGGATGCAGATCAAATGTAAATATATTTTCTTGTCTGATTTTATGATGTTATTTTGCCCTGTTTTATTTTGTGATACCCAGCGGAAACATTGGCCAGATCGACAGACCGTACAACAAATCAGGAACCTTGACTGGACTGACTGGTGAGCGAGACATAGGTCCTCGAGTTATGTACTGTGTTCCCTACTTATAAACCACACGCATTTACATAGTTTAAAACACATTCCAAGTTATGATATTCAGGGGCGTAGCTGGGTTGAATATGGTATGTAGGCAGAATGTTAGCGCGAAGCGCGAGAGGGGGAGGGAACGGGAGGGGGTTAATCCACGACAATGTGTTGCCGCAGGCAGCACCCGAGCGCGAAGCGCGAGAGAGGGAGGGTATGGGAGGGGTCTAAATTTGGAATAATAGAAGGCCTTAGGAGCAATCTCCCGTGTTCCGCTGGCAATTTCAATAGTTTAATAAATGAAAATAAAGCTCATTTTTTTTGTGAGAAAATATCGGGAAATATATTTCATTCCATATTATATCTCGCATTTTGTCGAATATGCATACTTTATGATGGGCAACATCAGTGATTTATGTGAATAAATGTTTTAAGCGTTATCCAAAGTCAGTATACAAGTTACTGAACGATTTCAAAGGGCAGACAGAGCTCAGACAAATTGAAATCGCCGAGTTTTCCGGGCAGACATAGGCTTACAAAAGAAAACTGGACGGCCCGGGAACGTGAAAAAAACTTTATCCGAAGACAGTCTAAAAAGAAAATTATACATGTAATCGACAAAAACAAGGACCAGTAAAAAAAAGTGTATTTATGAAATTTATGTGTAGGCAGTTGCCTATTCTGCCTGTAGGCAGCTACGCGCCTGGTATTTTCATCTGTACCAAATGGCGGTTTAGCCGCTGTGGTTTATTCCGCGTTGTCACTAAATTACGTCATGTACGGGGTTTTGCGACGAACCTTATTACATTTTGATTGGCTTAAAACAAACCAAACCTGAAATAACAATGAATAAAATGTTTATTGTAGCCTTTCTTACGGACTGCTCATATCAAGAATTGATTTTTTTGCGGTCTACGAAATTATCCTGTTTAAATTGACCTGTTTTGATAAAAAAAAAAATTAAAAGGGGAAGTTTGTAGGCAGAATATGCGAAATATAAATCGATATTCCGTTTTGAGATTAAGTTCATTTTTTTTTTATTAAGTAGGCATGATCTTTTTTATGTTATCTTGTTAAAGTTACAATCCCGCTCACCTGCGCTCTTTTTTCTAATCAGCAGGAAAAAATTGGCATTATTATTTTTCCTACATAGCAAAAGTTATCAACTTCCCGTTAATACCACATCCAGGGTGTGAAACGTGTCAACGATGTAAAACCAAAAGGAATTAAAGATTGTTTACGTGCCGTAAAGAATTCGATGATTTACATGAAGTCGCGCATGCCCGAACGGGCCCCTTTAAAATGCCGATATTTCTTGTCAGATTTATACACACTTTTTCTGCTATTACGATCACTTTTTGTTAATACTACTTGTTAAGTGAATTGTAAAGTCGGTAAGCATACCAAATGGCGTGATCGATCTTTATCAATTTAGATGAAAGCACGTTTATTGTGTAAACATTTCCTCTGACCCAGTCGAACACATGGCCGCCATTCGTTAGATTCTGCTCTCGTGACATCTCGTGATTTCGCGTATGCATGATGATGTAAAATACGTCCACGCATTTAGTTGAGATAAATTTAAATCAATGGAGTTTTAAAACTTTTCATATCAATATACGTATAACATTTCTGAAATTTTATGACTTTAGCCTTAACCGCATCTTTTCCGTCAGATTTACGTTAACTTTAAAAATAAAGTTAAGAAAAATAAAACAGAACAATAAAAATATAGCCACTACGATATTTATAATTACATATATCTCAAGTCAATGTTTTATTTATACACTTGTGTTCTCTCCTAGACTGTGGAGGGATTAGTTGTCATGGCGACAGGCGACTCACCCCGGCGTGCGCGTGTGAGTGTGACCGTCAGCTCCACCCAGCGTTCACTGGAGGTACCACTTGTCAACGTAAGTCACGATTATGTGTGTTCACTCCTAACACCTGCTTAATTACCTTCAGTGATTGCGACAGTAAAGCTTCTTTTAAAAATAAATTAACAAGTAAGGGAACGTGATAAGAATTTTAGAATTTTGAAAATCTTCAAATTAACGAGGGCATTTTTATATAAAGGAACGCAAAAAGAAAAATAGGAATAATACGACAAAATAAATAAATAAAAATAAATGAAGCATGTTGATTTCGGTTAATATGTGGTCTAATCAACCCCACAATAGCAGTATCAATCTCCGACGGCGTCTTCGATTGAAATTGTTTACTGGGGTTAAACCACACTTGTCCTCATCAACATGCTATATAATCCACGAGTTGAAAGACTCCGGGTAATAAAGAACTTGAACTTGAAATATAACCGTATATCATTGTTTTTTTCCATATTAACCGTAATGCTGTTCTACTAATATTACAGTTGACTGCAGTGTTCAGGACGTACCTTTCACGTGCGGCCCAAGGGGGACATATAAACACAAAGATTGTAGCCAGATTTACGTCACATTCTATTGTCCACACATGTGTCAAACATGTCCTTGTAAGTACATATATGACGTCATACTCACGTGTCAAAGTATCAGTATCACGAGACATGTTTATGTAGATAGCACGTGTATGGGACATGTTATATTATTAATACGTGCGTGGGATATGTTATATAGATAGCACGTGTATGGGATATGGGATATAGATAACACGTGCGTAGAACATGTATATATAGATAGCACGTGCGTAGGACATGTATATATAGATAGCACGTGCGTAGGACATGTCTATATAGGTAAAACGTGCGAAGGAAATGTCTATATAGGTAACACGTGCGTAGGAAATGTCTATAAAGATAACATGTGTATGGGACATTTGTTATATAGATAACGCGTGCGTAGGACATGTATATATAGATGGCACGCGCGTAGGAAATGTGTCTATATAGATAACATGTGTATGGGACATGTCTTTATAGATAGCACGTGCGTAGGACATGTCTATATAGATAACATGTGTATGGTACATGTTATATAGATAACACGTGCGTAGGACATGTCTATATAGACAACACGTGCGCAGGACATGTTTATATAGATAACACGTGCGTAAGACATGTTTATATAGATAACACGTGCGTATGACATGTTATATAGATAACACGTGCGTAGGAAATGTCTATATAGGTAACATATGCGTAGGACATGTCTATATAGATAACACGTGCGTAGGACATGTATATATAGATAGCACGTGCGTAGGACATGTATATATAGATAGGACGTGCGTAGGACATGTCTATATAGGTAAAACGTGCGAAGGAAATGTCTATATAGGTAACACGTGCGTAGGAAATGTCTATAAAGATAACATGTGTATGGGACATTTGTTATATAGGTAACGCGTGCGTAGGACATGTATATATAGATGGCACGCGCGTAGGAAATGTGTCTATATAGATAACATGTGTATGGGACATGTCTTTATAGATAGAACGTGCGTAGGACATGTCTATATAGATAACATGTGTATGGTACATGTTATATAGATAACACGTGCGTAGGACATGTCTATATAGATAACACGTGCGAAGGAAATGTCTATATAGGTAACATATGCGTAGGACATGTTTATATAGATAACACGTGCGTATGACATGTCTATATAGATAACACGTGCGTAGGACATGTCTATATAGATAGCACGTGCGTAGGAAATGTCTTTATAGATAACATGTGTATGGGACATGTTATATAGATAACACGTGTGTAGGACATGTCTATATAGATAGCACGTGCGTAGGAAGTGTCTATATAGATAACATGTTTATGGGACATGTTATATAGATAACGCGTGCGTAGGACATGTCTTTATAGATAACTAGTGTATGGGACATCCTATATAGATAATTCTTGCTTGGGATATGTCTATATAGATAACACGTGTATGGGGCATGTCTATATATATAACACGTGTATGGGACATGTTATAAAGATAACACGTGTATGGGACATGTTATATAGATAACACGTGTATGGGACATGTTATATAGATAACACGTGTATGGGACATGTTATATAGATAACGCGTGCGTGGGACATGTTATATAGATAACACGTGTATGGGGAGTGTTATATAGATAACACGTCCGTGGGACATGTTATATAGATAACACGTGTATGGAACATCTTATATAGATAACACGTGTATGGGGCATGTCTATAAAGATAACACGTGTATTGGACATGTTATATAGATAACACGTGTATGGGACATATTATATAGATAACACGTGTATGGGGCATGTCTATATAGATAACACGTGTATGGGGCATGTCTATAAAGATAACACTTGCGCGGGACATGTTATATAGATAACACGTGTATGGGACATGTTATATAGATAACACGTGTATGGGACATGTTATATAGATAACACGTGTATTGGACATCTTATATAGGTAATATGTGTATGGGACATCTTATATAGGTAACATGTGCGTGGGACATGTTATATAGATAACACGTGCGTGGGACATGTTATATAGATAACACGTGCGTGGGACATGTCTATATAGATAACACGTGCGTGGGACATGTTATATAGATAACACTTGCGTGGGACATCTTATATAGGTAACATGTGCGTGGGACATGTTATATAGATAACACGTGCGTGGGACATGTTATATAGATAACACGTGCGTGGGATAATTTATATAGATAACACGTGCGTGGGACATGTTAAATAGATAACACTTGCGTGGGATATGGTTATAAAAATAACATGAGCGTGGGACATGTTATCTAATTAAAACGTGCGTGGGATATGATTTTATAGATAACACTTAAGTTTGACATGTCAGTACATATAACACTTGCGTGAGACATGTTTAAACAGATAGTACGTGCTTAGGACACGTCAATAAAGATAGCACGTGCGTTGGACATGTGTATATATATTACACGTGCATGGGACATGTCTTTACACATATCACGTGTGTCGGCCATGACTTTACAGATAGTAGGAACATGCGCAGTGCGTTACGTAAGCGGATTTTTTTTACACGTGTTTACTTTCTCTATTTTTCGTATATAGTTTTTTGAGGTTACCTGTTGGTATCATTATTTTTTTCTGTTGACAGAAGTGTGGTTACATATCTATATAATATTTTCATTGTAGATGCTGATCCGTCCTATGTGTCTCATTCAAGTGCAGGAACTCTCACCTTCAAATCGTCAGTCGCGATCGTCTTTTTTATCCCGTTAATGTTAAAAGTATTTTGAAAGAAATCAAACGGGAAGCGTTTGGCTTATCGTCCCAAGTCAACATCAAAAACTTAATATCAAGAGAAAATAAATGTCGTGTTTGTGATATCAATATCAGTAAAAAAAAGTACAAGTTTGAACTTGTTACCGGACAATGATTTTGTTTTATTACATGAATAAAAAATAAATTTTGTCACAGACATCATTATATAGATTTATTATATTCTGTACGAATGTTCCTTATCAAGCTATAATAAAGTACCCATATTTATATGAAATATTATGTTGGGCGACATCTAACACCCGGTGGATAGTTGATCGAACTGTCGCCTTCTGTATGTCAAAAACCATCCTCGATACTCCAGGGGTTACGCTAACTTTCGCTCTCTGCAGAGAGTAACCTCTGAAGAATCGTGGATGGTCTAAAACCCTCCAGTACATTTTTGTGGACAATTTCATCTTATTAAATTTGATAACTGTTGCGAGTCTTTGTCAGCCAATAAACATCGCTAGAGTAGAAATTGTCACTATCATGTAACACTGAAACAGTAGAAAAATGGTATATTTATTGAAAAATTAATACGTTTCCTTTCTTTTTCACAAAAAGAAAAATATGTATTCAGAACCGACTTGGTCGATGACAGCGAACATGAAATAAGACATGTTAACATCAAGTTAACACATAGACCTGCACACGCTCCTGTATATAGCTAGTGATTAATTGCTGACTTGCACAAATCCAGGTAATAACAAACGGACTAATTGAAAACAATGGATGAATATTGCTTTGGTCGATCTCTTGGGGTGAAGCAATAAGTTGTTCTTGAGACTAGTCCAACAGTAACTGCTTCCCAATCGGTCATTGAATTTGTCTTAAGTCCAAATTAATTCTTTATCCCATGAAATTTACAAATGTTTAAAAGAAATACACGATCAACAAAAATGTAAATTGCCATATCTATTAGACTTATATATTTACATTCTTGATGTTTGTTCTGTACATGAATCTACCAACTGAAAACAACTGCCATTAAACTATGAATACAACGATTCTCGTGCAACCAGTCAGCTGATTTCACACACAAGACCACTCTATATTATTACTACGAATAGTTATCTCCCCTTCTCCGAGATAACGTAGTTGCGAGAAATGATAATAAACATTACAAAAATCATGAATGGTGCACCATTGTAATCTCTCTAACTTAAAACTAAAAACAATACTTATAACAATTGTCATATTAAATACTGACTTCCGACTCGCAATCGGTTCCTCGTGGTCACGAACTTTGTAACACGTCTGGCTGGGTAATCCCCGTGACATCAACTTGCACACACAATGCACTTCATTCACCAAGTTAGCATCTACTGCCGACGGGTGCTCGGCCGACGCCGGAGTGCCCTGGGTGGTTACTATAGTGACCGATGATTTGAAATAGTGCGGAAAAACTATGGCAAGCCAAGTTGTCATTTATGCATGGAGCAATGTTGATCCAGTACTTAACCAAATTATATAAGATATCTTATTTAATTATATAAGATATCTTATATACTTTATGAGATATCTTATATACTTTATAAGATATCTTATATAATAAATGAGATATCTTATATATTTTATAAGATATCTTATATACCTTTCTTTATAAGATATCTCATAAAAGATATAAGATGTCTTATATATTATATAAGATATCTCATAAAAGATATTAGATATCTTATAAAGAAAATTAAATGAGATATCTTATATCTTTTATAAGATATCTGATGATTTGAAATAGTGCGGACATACTATGGCAAGCCAAGTTGTCATTTATGCATGGAGCAATGTTGATCCAGTACTTAACCAAATTATATAAGATATCTTATTTAATTATATAAGATATCTTATATACTTTATGAGATATCTTATATACTTTATAAGATATCTTATATAATAAATGAGATATCTTATATATTTTATAAGATATCTTATATACCTTTCTTTATAAGATATCTCATAAAAGATATAAGATATCTTATA